CCGATGCTCAGGCTGCTCCAACCTTTTATTTGATCTGGGGTAGCCCTAGGGTAAGGAGGTTTCAATGACACACAGATACTATCATGATTAAAGGTAGAGAGGTTGCTTCAGCTATTTACATGAATAAAGGTAGGGAGGTTGCTTCAGCTACCATTATCTAGATTAACTGGGTGTTGCACAGCCCTGACCTTTGCTAGGGCTTCAAGGTTACTAACTTTTGGGGGTCTCTGTCTATACTCAGCTAGTGAAGACAATAAATGGACCTCGGCATCTCCCCCTTATTTTTTCTTTAAAAAATCAAGTATCTGTAGACTAGAAATATAAGAACAAGTCCCAATTTCAATGTCCAACAGTTCTGAGTCCAAGTTTCAATGTTTGACAGTTCATGTGTACATGCCAGCAATGAAATGCTTGTTCTGGATGGTGGACAAACGGTGGTAATGCAGGTCCGGTCCTCTCTGATCTGATCCTGGGCACCCTGAAGTGACCCACAGCTGCTGAATGCTAGCATGGCAAGGCGTCTTCACCATCTCCAGCTCTGAATTGTCTCTCCTGTCTTTGTGGCTGGAGTAATTTGGTCAGTTTCTCTCTGGGATCCATTTTCGCAGGAATCCACATGGTCTTGGAGCTGTTCTGAAAGTATACGAACGTATTCTTGACCAGAGGTTAATAAAGGAAACCTTACTTGGGGTCTTTTCTTTAAAACGATCTTCCCCTGGCTTACCCTGGCATCATGTGTGTTTTTCTGGGTGTCTCACTATTAGCATTACAAACAAAAAATTTTATCTAAATGTAATTTACTTACAGGATCTATTTCCTTACATGGCATTTTTCCACTATATTTTTCCACTATTCCCCCTTTTTTTGATTTAATTAGGAGGCTTTTTGGAAAATTTATAATGCAGTCTAGATAACTTTAAATGTTAATTTTTTTGCAGAAAAATATGACTGCTTTAGGTTCATAGCATGTTAAGCAATTTTACCACGAAATGAAAATTTTGGTTAATATTTCTTGAATAATTACTTATTTCAAATTAGCCAAATTTAATTAATTTGAAAACTTCACAACTATTTTACTGTCAGATTTAATATTCTAACAATAATCTTAATTTACACTGTAAATATTAATGGAAAGGATCATTTTACATCCTTGAGGAGGCCTGAGCATTCCTGTTGTTAGGCTAGATTTCTGTTAGCCAAGCCTCCGTTTATCTGAATACTGATTTCAGCTGGACCAAGTCTCTTTTGTTATTTGGTTCCCGGTCTGGGCTGGGTATGGGAAGCGAGAAGCAGCCATGGGGGCAGGAGACCTTCCTCAGAATGTGCGATTGTTCAAGCCCCTGCACTATTGGGGGGGTGAGGATCTGTGCACCACCTCTGTTGAACCCCAAGTTCTCTTTTACTGGCCCCTCGACTGTGCCTGTCTTAGGTTGTTCCTCCGTGAGGAATCTTACCCGTCATTGCCTAACCAGCCATCCTCCAGGGCCAAGCAGGGTGATGAGAAGTTCAGTTCTGTCTCCTTGTTAACCTAGGCCCCTGTGGCCTCCATGCCCAGCAACTGCCTTTGGATCCCCTCGCCTGCTGGCGGGGCCCCGGCATGGATCATGGGGAACCCAGGTTTCTTCTCCAGAGAGGGCCCAGCTTATGCCATTGGGCACGAGACAGAGACATGGTACCAGCCACCATGATCTCAGCTTGAACGGAGAACTCAGGTAACAGCTGTAAGAGGGAATCCTCTTGGCAAAAAGGTCAAGAGAGGTCAATACAGAATGCTTAAGTGCCTTCCCAGGGGGCCTTCCACACTGTGGAAGGTAATAAATCCTTTCATGTCCTTAAAACATTCAAATAATAAATTTGTAAGTTTGTTTGGGATAAATGCACAATATATTGTTGTAAAGCATCAAAAATTATTAATGAATTTTGTAAAATAATACCATGTAAGAATGTTCTTTGCTCTAGGTTATGACAACTTAATTTTAAACTGGCTGTCTCAAGGTTTGGAATGAGGAACCTAGTT